GAAGATTAGACACACACACACACACACACACACACACACCCCTTATCAGAATCAAGGAAGATTAGACACACACACACACACACACACACACACACACACACCCCTTATCAGAATCAAGGAAGATTAGACACACACACACACACACACACACACACACACACACCTAGACTTTCACTAACACAAAGCTCAAGAAGGCTGGTATAAAAGCAATGAAAAAATTCAGAAAAGGAAATTATCAAGTGACAAACTGGCCCTCATTCTTCTTCCCAAGGTCTGAGGGTAGGTAGGCCCCAGCCTCAGGGCTGGCCATGCAGTAACAATTCTCTTTGTCAAGACTTCCCAAACCAGAGAGGAAAGTGAGCTTCATTCTAGAAACACTGCCTAGCCAATCAAGAACCCACAGGGTTTGCTTTGCCACTATGAGAAAAAAGCCTTTTTCAGGAGTGATGAATAGAAAGGAGAGCTGAAATAGTTTCTAAGATCATTTAATTTCTAGGTCTAGTCATACCAAATGACCTCCTCTGTGATTTATATACATATCTATTTTAGTTACATACACTTTTATTTTGAAAGACTTACCTCTCCACTCTAAGAGACCTAGTCGGTCAGCAGTACTGATCACTAAAAGTCACATGCTCCTTTAACAATGTTACCATAACCAGAAATGTGCAAAAGTTAAAATAATGCCTTGTTTTAAAATTATCAATATATTCACAATCATTACTTTTATTTCATTTCCCCTATGTAACTTGGCTTGGGGCTAAAGGTAAAGTATGTAGAAGGCCCTGGGCTTGATCCCTAGCACATTAAAAAATGTAACAGAACACAAGAAAGCAAAAATCTTTTTATCAGTATACTGTTTACTTTCTATTTTGTACAGAAAAGGTCCTCTCTACTCCATTGTAGCATATTTACTGTTTAACAAATACATAATGGTATAGAGCATTATTGTAAGGATTATTCTAATCCTTAGCTAATACTCTAGTTAGGGATTTAGGCACTTAAATTTTTTTCTTATAGTATGAGGAAAATGAAGAATGTATTTTTAAATAGTTCTCTTTAGATCTCCCTAGGAAACAGACGGAACAACTAGATCATTTTCCTGATTGAATGTATAGTGCTATACTTTTGTTCCTTTGTGTTTCTCAGTTTCTTAGGCTTAAAGAACATTTCTAGGTTTCAAGTTTACTGACTTCATTTTACTGCACATTATCCAATGTTACAGTTTTATTCTTAAAACTTAATGACTTTAATATGCTGAAAAATAGGTGAGATACGTAGCACCAAAAAGCCAATGAACCACATTCTATATAAACTCTGCTTCTACAGAATGATGAATGTACATTCCAAATCAAGTCTTGGAAAATTCAAGTTATACTTGATAGAGTACATCTTCTCATATGCAAAACATATATAATTCCTGTACTGAACACTAGGAATCAAATGAAATGTAAGATTAATATATCATAAATGACAAAATGTTTACAAACTAAAAACAAGAAAAAGAACAGTCTGTATTTCATTGGAAAACCCATACCAAAACAGTATCTTAGGCAATACATGTATTGGCTACTCACTAAACAGTAAAGCACGTACATACACAAGATTATCAAGAATTCCTTCCAGTGATACACACACACACACACACACACACACACACACACACACACACACACACAGAGGGGTGAGGGAGTGAGCAAACATTTCCCTTATTTTCTTTCACATAGTTCAATTCTCCCCCTTGCTTTTATCCATGTAGCAGTACAAGACTCCCTAGCAGTGAAAAAAAAAATTTCCTCATTTTTTTACAGTTCCATAGACACACACAATCCATGTAGATATATCAGTTTATTTTGCTAGTCCTTTACTAGACATTTGAGTCATTGTCAGTGTTTGATTACTGAAGATACAACAAAACATTGCACATATTGTTTCATATTGGTCAAGGTTTACATTTCGGATAAATTCCTTTAAGTAGTATTTCTGGACTAAATTCATTTGCCATGTTAGGAGACTGCCAAATTCCTCTACAGGGTGAAATCATTTTGTAGTCTACCAATAATAAACTCCCATATTACCTTACCAAGAATACAGATTTGGATTTTCTTCCAATAGAAAAGAAAGTGCAACTGAGCACCAGTGGCTCATGCCTATAAATTCAGGCAGAAACAGTATAGGCAGGAAAGTCCATGCTACTCTCATCTCCAATTAACCAACAAAAAGCCACAAGTGAAGCTGTGGCTCAAGTAGTAGAGTGCTAGCCTTGAGTGGACAGAACTACAGGACAGCACTCAGGCCATGAATTCAAGCACCAGCATTGACACACTGACCTTTTTTTTTTTTTTTAATGTGTGAAGGTATGTTTAAAGATTAAAAAAAAAGGATCATTCATATTCCTTTTATTCATGTCATTTATTCATATCATTGATACCTAGTTTTTGAGTTTCTTGATTTCTTTAAGTCAGCCTTTTGAGTCCTTAACTAACGCTTTTTGTTGTTGTTGTTGTTCAGGCCACTGGTTCTTCCCTTAACTACTGTACCAGCCTCCTAGTTAGTCACCCTACTTCCATACTTGACTCTTATCAGAGTTTAGAGACTACAAAGAGAAATATATTCCTTGCCTATAATTCTCCAGCGTTTTCCCATTACAATACACTCCAAATTCTTTGTCAAGTTCCTCTAGGTACACAAACACCTTTACCTACCATCCATCTTCCTCTGACACACACACTGCACAGCCATCTTTGTGTCCCTTCTGTCCTTTGCCAGAACCAAGTCTGTTTCAATATAATGAACTCCAAAGGGAGCTGTCCCTCTGCTTAGAAACCTCTCTCATCCCACACTGCTTCTCACTTTTTTAAGACCGTTCACATATCACTTAAGGAGGACAGCATGGGGTGTTCATGACCCCCAATATTACTCTATTTTAACTCCTTCACACTACTTTCTTGATTGTTCATATACTGTCAACACCTAACAACCTCCAGAGTATGAAGACCAAGATTAGGACAGGAACTGACTTGTTCCCATCTGGAATTGCTTGGCAACTCACAAGTGCTCAAGAAATACACTGCACTCAAGACTAGTTAAGTTTTTCCCAGTTTTCTCTTATCTTCTAAGACTTCTTCTAATGCTATTTCTTGATCTGTCAGATAAGTAAGACCATTACTTACAGATCTAAGAATGGTAGCTATTCAGAACTAAAGACTAAAGATGAATTCTAATTACTAAAAGTCAATGTTACCTGCAATTTGGCTAAAACATTTAATACTAAAATATCTCAATTACAAAATGACTCACTTTTTCATAAAACAAAATAGACCATAGTAGGCACAATTTATTGATAATAGAAAATGGTGTGTGTGTGTGTGTGTGTGTGTACCCCCAAATCAAACATTTCTTGGCTTATGACTTTTTTAAAAGATGTGGCTTAAAAAAAAAAAGACAGGGGCTGGGAAGGTGGCTCAGTGGTAGAGTGATTGCCTTGCATGCATGAGGCCCTGAGTTCGATTCCTCAGCACCACATAAGCAAAATGAAAAAAGCCGGAAGTGGCACTGTGGCTCATGTGGTAGAGCGCTAGCCTTGAGCTGAATAGCTGAGGGACAGCACCCAGGCCCAGAGTTCAGGCCCCATGACCGGACCAAAAAAAAAAAAAAAAAGACAGGTAAAAATACTCCATTTGATGGTACAATAAACTATCAAAAGACATGAGGTACAGCTGCATATACTGATGCAGGAAGCATCCTGGACTGCTCTCTAGGTACCACTACTGTACAGAAACTTACTTCACTGCTTTAAGTTACAAAACAACATGTAGAGAATAATCTCATTTTTACAAAAATAAGCAAAATAGTATATATGCATATAAAAGGTTCAGAAAAATCAACATCACACTACAAGTTAGGGTATTTTTTTTTTTTTTGGGTCCGGTGGTGGGGCCTGAACTATGGGCCTGGGCGCTGTCCCTCAGCTCTTCAGCTCAAGGCTAGCGCTCTATCACTTGAGCCACAGCGCCACTTCCGGCTTTTTTCTTTTTGCTTATGTGGTGCTGAGGAATCGAACCCAGGGCCTCATGCATGCAAGGCAAGCACTCTACCACTGAGCCACCTTCCCAGCCCTAGGGTGAGTATTTTGAATGTGAATGTTTTTGCTCTTTCTGAATCTTTAATGAAATATTTTGATAGTTATACACAGTCATATGAATATGTCTGTCTATATAAGTGTTTAAAGTAGCTACTGGAGCCAGGCACTGGTGGCTCCCTCCTGTAAATCCTTTCTACTAAGAAGGCTGAGATCTGAGGATTGCAGTCTGAAGCCAGCCTACGGAGAAAAGTCTGTAAGCTTCTTAACTACAAACCACCAAAAAAGCACGAAGTGGAGCTATGGCACAAGTGGTAGAGTACTAGCCTTGAGCAAAAAGGCTCAGGGACATCATCCAGGCCCTGAGTGCAAGCCCTAGGCCAGACAGCCGGACAGAAGGAAAGAAAGAAAGAATGAAAGAGACAGAGAGACAAGAGAGAGGGATGGAGGGAAGCAGGGAGGGAGGAACAAGCTGCAGGAAAGAGAAAAGATCCATTGCTCAGTTTTTGTTGTTGTTTTTTTTATCTTACTGCTATTTCTTTCCCATAATATCTTGTAATTGGTATTACTAGCAGTAATATCACATATACTGTGAAATAAACGCACAGTAGAAAATACTTTTGAGTGTATCTGAATCTTACTAGGTTTCTTAGGCATGTCTCTGAAATGACTTGGAAATATTCTCAAATGTTTCAGAAGAAAAGCAAAATAATTCAATTATTCAACAGAGATCTAAAATAAGAGCTGAAATAATAGTCAACACTGAAACTGAGGTTTCTCCTATCACTCAATAGAGAAAACCTAACTGGTCATACATGAACATCTCACTCCCTAAAAATGTTAAAATTAAATTTAAACTTAAATTATTTAATGTGCTAAAAGTGATAAATTCTGTGATCACCAATTCTTAGATATTTGGCTATATGACAAGACTCTTTTACCCCAGTTCTCTGCTTCCTATTCTTCTCTCTTCCAGCTTCTCCTAATGTTCCTTTGTCCCGCTTCAATTCATATTCAATTCAATGTTTCTTTGTCTCAACTTCAATTCATGATTAGGAGAATAAACCCATTTACTTGACCAGTAAGCTTAGGTCATACCTATTCTTTTCCATCTAAATGCATGTACAGACATTAGAGAGGTAAATGTTGTGTAAGTTGGTAAAATAAAGTTGAAATGGAATTAATTAGGATGAGACTTAAGTTCTCAGAACAAAAGAAATCTACTTTGAGATAAAATGTAAGATGCATTCTGGAACGTTTTCTTAAGACTTCAGAGTGTGGCATATCAACCACCTTGATGTTTAGAACCTCATTCTTTCATTCAGAAGCTGTTCTGCAGCTTCAAGTCTGGTCTTTTCATCAGAAAAATACATGGAGAACAGACATAGCCTTCCTGTGTATTAGGCCAAATGTGATGCATATGAAAGTGTGTTGTAATCCTAAAAAATTACAGTAAGATCCTATTGGGACTCTCATCCAACAGTACCTACTAACTACAGAAAGGATGTTTTCACAAATAGATGCCATACATATATACATATATACCTCTCACATATACATATTGTATTTAAAGGTACATGTAATTCATATTCACTTTTCCAAAATTTTTGACCTCTTAAACAAAGTTTAATTATTCTAACAGCAACACTAAGTCAACAGAGGAGGAGGCAACAATGCTTGATGATAAATGTATTCATTACCTTACTGTCACCCCTCTGTATGGTATTTTCACAATAATAAAAAAAAAAAAACAGGGGCGGGGGGGGGGGAAGATGGGAAGGGGAAACAAAGGAGGAGGCAACAATGCTTGATAAGAAACGTACTCATTACCTTGCCCATGTAATTGTAACCCCTCTGTACAGTATTTTCACAAAAAAAAAAAAACACTAATAGCCCTAGAAAAGTTTAAATGTAAGAGCTCTACGATATTTCCTCTACAGTATTGAAACGGCCGGCAGCACAGTCTAAGAGGGTTTAAACATTTTTATGCTAGTGTTTCATATTTCAAAGGCCTTCCCTTCAAAAACCACGTCACTACCCAGTATTTTTTTTCTTACTTTAGTAGTTTTGGGTTTCCAAAATTCTAAGCAAAAAAAAAAAAAAACCTTTTGCTGCTCGCCTCCCTCCCATTTCACCCTCCAGCGGTTTAGAGTGAAGAACTTTTTTACTTCAACATTCTTAGTGCAAAACAGAGCTCTGCTGGCAGAAAGGGTAAGGAAGGAAGGGAGCAATGGAAGGAAAGGAGGCAAGCTCTGACAGGGGCTGGCATTTTAACTCTCAACCCTTTACATTACGATTTAAAGCCTAAGTTCACGTTCTGATTCTCCATTGAATCATCTGACCAACATCTTACCTCTCTCCTTTATAACCGGAGAGATAAAGTTTTGCTCAGTGACCCAAGTAGTGCTGGAGATGTCATCTGTCTAAGTGGGAATTTTAAACAACTCGGTGGGGGTAAACTCCTTTGGTTTAAAAACAAAACTTTTCTGCCGCTCTGCCAGTCACATTTGACACTTTGCACATTTATTTTTAAAGCTTCTCCGACCCCCCCCCTCCAACTTCTCCCCTTCGGTGTTCATGTTTTAGTTGGGAGGAAGAAAGGCGACTTAAAAGAGCCTACTTAAAGAATAGCCCATAAATTCCTATGGCCACCTCGGCTTGAATTTAAATACCAAAGTCTCCAACGTTTGGATCTGAACTGCTGGAAGATCAGCCAGCTTGGGGAAGAGACTCATCCCGCTCTTACCTGGCTCCTTCACTTAGGGTACCCTGTGGGCAGGCAGGGGCAGGGCAAGGGGATGGAGACGCCGAGGCTGGGGTGTGTGAGTTGTCTTTGCGAAAAGAAAAAAAGGGGGGGGGGAGCCGGGGTGGGGTGGGAGGGACGGATATACCAATGGAAAAGTCTTGATCAAGTCCCACGAGATGATGCGGAGAGCTCGGAACGGGCAGGGGCGCGGGGCTGGCGGGTCTCCGGCGGCGGGGCTGGGGGGAACGACAAGAGGGTGCTCCAGGCTCGGGAAGAAGCTGGCCCGACGTGGCCGGGGAACGGACCTGAGCCCGAGTTAGCCTTCACCGCCCCCCCCACGCCCGTTACCCAGCCCCGGCCAAGCCGGCCACCGGGCAGCAAGGGGCCGCGGGGCGAGGTCTCCGGGTAGCCGGACCCCGGCGGGCAGCGCAGGCCGACGGTGGCAGCGGCCACCTCCTCACCTTCGGGCATCTCCCGGTCGCTGATGTGCTGCAGGTGGTGGCCCTCGCCGGCTCCAAAATCCAAGTCGGCGGGCTCCGCGGCCGCGGGCGCCGGTGCTACCGCCACCGCGTCCCCCGCCGCCGCCTCGCAGAGCTCAGACTCATAGTCCGCGTCCGCCGGCCCCGCGCGCCGGCCCAGCTTGGGGCTGGCATTGGGGGACACGCAACAGGTCAGCGTGTTCCCC